GTTATTCTAACTGAAGCATCAAGTAACTTTCTTACTATTAGGGTCATTGTTCTGTGCAATGAATGGCGGACGTAATTTAAGCCTTTCTCATAATTATGCATTGTTCGTATCAGTAAATGGGGCTATGCATCTCAGTACTTAACNTCTTGGGACAATGGCAACCACCAGTGGGTGCCAATCGCGCTCGAAAGGGAGGGGGCGTGGTCCCGTGATCGCACATGTTGAAATCCGCACTGCCGTCAACGGGTTAATATGGCGAACGGACGGGCAACGGAAACGGGATCAGTGTTAGCTCATTAGCTCGTTGTAATCGTGATTCATGTTTCATTGTTGTCGTATGTGATTTCGCACATCTTTCTGCGTCTCAATTATCTGTGCAAGGTAGGATACGTGAACCTCTAGCCTTTTTTCATGGTCTCAGCTCGGCTGTAGTTTCAAATAGGATTATCCCATCTCATATTCAGTGCTGCATGCGAATCTATGCAAATCTATCTAACGGAGTTTCATCTCGCGATTATGCGAAGTTATTCTAACTGAAGCATCAAGTAACTTTCTTACTATAAGTTTCATTGTTCTGTGCAATGAATGGAGGACGTAATTTAAGCCTCTCATAATTATGCATTGTCCGTATCAGTAAATGGGGCTATGCATCTCAGTACTTAACGCAACCTGTAGTCCACATTCAACAAGCTTCATTTTACAATTATATGAATTCACTGTCGTCGCGCAGATCAGGGTTTTATGCAGATTCCTCATCGTGACTCATTGGATGTGACCATATATCCTAATCGACCTCGCCAGATTTTGCAACACGCGGTGCGCAAAAAAGGAGATTACGGTCATTTTTGTTTCGGCACATCATATTTTTTTAAACTCAGCCTTGACATTCATTTACCCAGAAAGCAACAAGTGATAATAGCGATAAGCGAAAAAAGGGCATGCAATCCGTGCTGTATTCATCATCTATGTATCATATCCTTGTTTTTGCGACACGGACACTTGATAGCCAATGCCTGGACTGCATTGCTAATTGTTTGTTGCTAATAGATTCCAAAACCTGACACTTTCTTCTAATATTTCAGTAATTAATAGCTTTTCTTGAACTATATCTAATGCGTCTTGTCTATTATTCTTTCTTACTCGATCACTCAATATAAGACATAATTCTCTTTGTTAGTGAAATTACTTTCATCCTTAACCTATCTCCTTTTCGTACTCGCATAAATATCCACTGGTGTCATTCATGTAAAAATATTGTTTTTCCCTTCGTCGAATACTGTTCATTCGCGAAAAGAAACTGGATGCGATACCAACTTCGGCGGTTACGAGAGCTTTTCAAGCAGCAGATCTCTAGCCAGGTGCTATCTAGCGATGCAAGGTGCTCGCAAAATTTTGCAAGAACCGGACATCTACCCTACTGTGAGAAGAGTAACGACTGAAAACGACATAGCGACAGATTGAAGAATTGCGAATCGGCGATTGATCACCAGCCGTGTACCGCCGTTAGGAGGAGGAAATGCCTTGTGTGTTCTGCGGGGCGCTTGGTCGCCATTACTCCAATTCTCGCGGACGGATCCGCAATTGACAGGAGAAGGCGCAATACCTCAGGAGCCCGAAGATGTCAAGTGTGCCTAGAGCTGGAATGTGAGGGCGAAAGTGATTGCGCGGAAGCGGAAGTTCTTTGCTTTCACCGTAAGAGAATAGGTCATGTCATCCGCAGTGTGCACACACCGAAATACCGCTTCATATTGAAGCGGGCAAACGACACTGCGAGCTAGAGATCAACGATCTTAACACACTGCTGAGAAATTCATCGTCACTAGGAGAGTCCAGAAATCGATAAGGTCTAACAAAAGCAAGACTTACAGTCTTTTGCTGGCGGACGGAAAAGCGCGACCTAGTAGATTAAATTACGTCTAGCTACAGTATCGCGGCAAAAATTGGGACTTTACAA